GAGGGGAAAGGGAGTGAGGAAGAGGGGGTAAAAATGTGCAACAAGGAATGAATGAAAATCTAACTTTTCTGTACACTTTCATGAAAATCACAATCAAAATAAAAACCCTCTTTTAACAAGTTAGTATCTTGCAAAACTCAAGTGCAATGGGAGATTGGAATAAAGGGTCCAAGAGCTGTGGTCTGTGCCTGATAGAACAGACATTAAATTGAGATCCACAGTCAACAGGAGAGAAATAGGAAATTTCAAGACACAATGGCTGGAATTTCTGCAGAAGTAGAGAGATAAGACACTTCAAGATGGAATGACTGGGACTTTTGGAGAGAGGGAGAGACAGTGACATGGAAAGACAGAGACAGACAGAAAGACACACACACACACACACACACACACACACACAGAGAGAGAGGGAGAGGCTATTTCAAGACACAATGGCTTGAATTTTTTGCAGTAGAGAAATAAGACATTTAATGATGGAATAACTGGGACTTTGGAGAGAGACAGAGAGACAGACACAGACACAGAGACAGTGAGAAACAAAGACACAGATATAAAATTGAGATCCACAATCAACAAGAGAAAACTACCAAATTTCAAGATGCAATGGCTGGAATTTTTGCAGAAGTAGAGAAATAAGACATTTTAAGAGGGAATGACTGGGACTTTGAGAGAGAGAGAGGCTGACAGAGACGGAGAGACCGACAGAGACAGAGAAGAGCGACAGAGACACAGAGACACACAGACTCAAGCTATTTCATGACACAATGGCTGGAACTGTTAAAGGGAGATGGACAAAAATGATTGTGCACTTAACCTGAATTTTTCCCTTTGTGAACCTCATCCATCTAAATGAACAGAAATGGCTTTCTTTTCATAATTGAAATACGTCTTGGGGAACCTTTACCGAGGGACAAAATGGCTAATTATGAAACAAAAGGTCACGTCTCTTGGTCAATGCAGGCCTAGAAATACTGCTTTTAATTTGCATGCAGACACAAGATTCTTTCACGTTAAGTTGGTGGTGCAGTTCTGCACAGCGTAGGAACAATTAACAGA